AGCCTGGTTACGCCAATTTACCCTAGGAGACCAGTTTTTGTGATTGTTAATACGGTAGATATGAACGTGTGCCCCGAAAATCCCCGAATTAAGCTCCGAATTCGGAATTTTTTTTTTTTTTTTGACGGCCCCTGCTCTAGCTCTTCCATATTTTTTACTCCAGATTCATCCCCACCACGACCCTATGGGGTTGGGGGGCCCCTCGGCTATTCCCTTCCCACCACGACCTCTATGGGGGCCCCTCGGCTAGTGGAACACCTCCCCTCCTCCGTGCCGCAGTCCATGCCCAAGATTTTAATCTCTGTTTCGCTATTTGTTTGAATTGTTGGCGTTTTTTCTTGCCCATTACCTTGGTTTTCTTTATCCTCCCTCCCCTCTTCATTGTTCTTCATGGGCTCCAGCCCGCTTCCTCCCCCGCCCCTTCCACTAATCAGTAATATCAGGGACAGTATACATAGGAGAGAGGGGGACCACATGGATGAAACAATACACTTCAGTCAGAAGGTAGTAATACAGAGAAGCACACGTTTTAGCTGCAAAAATAAGATGATACCTAAAGTGCTAAAGACTTAAAGTGCAACAATGGTAGCTTCAGGCTACGAGCCACTAGGCTATTCATAAGGTGCAAAATCTTAAAGTGCGAACCACCCAAGACTGGCTCTCAAGACTATTAAAGTGCGGCAGGAGGGAACGGACAAGGGCGGGTGCAAAACAAGTAGCAGCAAAGGCAGGCGCCTTGGGTGCTATATTACGCTCTTGTTACCAATTAGCAGTAAAGGTAAAGAAGGAACTCTAACGTGCAATGTCCGCAATATGTAAACACAGTAATTGAACACAGTAATTGTAAACCCAGTGATGTAAACACAGTAATTAAAGAGATTAGCGGTTGGTGAAGATACTATTATTCAGATGTAATCTATAGACGCCTGATGGAAAGATAGCGGATGAATCACTTGGTCCTCCGGAGGTGGTCAACACGGCGGTGGTCAGCTCGGTTGGTCAATATCCAGCTAAGTTGCACAACAGGCAACACACTATCGGTCAACACAGAAAATGGTCCGTACAATAGGATCTACACAGTATCAGACTGCACAGTATCGATCAACACAAGGTCCACACAACAGCACAATAAAGGTCAGCCCCAGAAGAGGACTATCCGCAGTTCGCCAGATGGTGAGGGCCCAGATGATGGAGGAGAGTAAGGGCTCAGGCGGATAGGCGGGGATGGTAACGCTCAGACGGAATTAGGCCCGGCAGCGAGGTTGTTTAATGGGCCTAGACAAGGAGAGAGCAGGCCCGGATGATAGGGCTGCAGGCCTAAGGCCCTCAGGTCCTAACGACGAGGCCCAGCGGCCCAGCAGAGGGAGGGAGAAAGGAACAGGCCTAGATGGTGGTGTGGCGAGGCCTGATGACTAGGGCCTGACCCGTACAACCCCCGTAGCGCGGTGGTCCGCCCGGCGGGGTCCCCACAATAGAGGCCCAACCAGACGAATGTTCGCAGCTCCGGCCGCTGCAGGGCCCCAACTCACTCCTCCGCAGCTGTGGAATGTCGGCCTCCTCGCCTCCTGGTCTCCCAGCTGCCTCGCGGCGCGTTTCCTCGCGGCGCGTCTCTCCCTCGGCTGCACCCGCAACCGGCTGGGACCGAGTGGCGCGGCAAGATGGCGGCCGCGGCAGGTCTTACTTCGGCTCGGTCGGCCGGTAGCGGCGGTCAGACGGCAGCGGAGGCCCAGCGCCCGGCGTCGGAGTCGGGCACAGGCAACTCCGGTCAAGTCCTCACCGGAGGGTCCCCAGAGCTGGAAGGTCCCCCCCCTGGGGGAGTCCGGCCGCAGCGTGTCTCTCGCAGCACGTCTCCCTCGCGGCGTGTCTCTTCTCAGCCGCAGCAGCAAAAACGGCCAGGCCCAAGCCGTGCGCGGCAAGATGGCGGCCGCGATGAGTTCACCTCGGCTCGGCCGGCGGCCCAGCGCCGGAGCTGGACACGCCGGAGCTGGACTCGGCGGCTCGACCAGCAGACGGCCAGCCTCGTCGGAAGGACCACAGAACTGGTAGGTTTTCTCAAAGGGAAGCTGGCCGCATTGCAATGGCGGCCGCTCCCTTCTACCTTCGCCTCCTCCTCTTGGTCCCCTCTTCTCGGCTCCTTGGCTCTTCAGCTTTTTATTCTGGGCACACACACCCGTGCTGGAGTGTTGATCTCACCCCCTCCAATTTGATGGTTAGCGGAGGGGGATTCCTAGGATTTCCTCGGATTTTGCTCTTTTCGTTAGAGCAGCTCAGCGTTGCCGCTGCTGACCGCCATAACCGGAAACCGGAAATGTTCTCCACTGAGATACTCCACTGAGACAGAAAAAGTGAAATGAGATGCCTGGCTCAACAGAAGTACATGTGAAAAGGATCTTGGAGTCCTCATGGACAACAAGTGAAACATAAGCCAACAATGTCATGTGGCAGATTAAAAAGCCAATGGGATTTTGGCCTGCATAAATACTATAGAGTCTAGATCCAGGGAAATCATAGTGCCCTTCTATTCCGCCTTGGTCAGACCACACCTGGAATACTGTGTCCCATTTTGGGCACTGCAATTGAAGGAAGATGTTGACAAGCTGGAATGTGTCCAGAGGAGGGTAACTGAAACAATCAAGGGTCTGGAGAACAAGCTCTATGAGGAGTGGCTTAAAGAGCTAGGATGTTTAGCTTGCAGAAGAGAAGGCTGAGAGGAGACACAATGGCCATGTATAAAGAGGTGAGGGGAAGTCATAGGGAGGAGGGAGCAAGCTTGTTTTCTGCTGCCCTGGAGACTAGGATGTGAAGCAATGGCTTCAAACTACAGGAAAGGAGATTCCACCTGAACATTAGGAAGAACTTCCTAACAGTGAGAGCTGTTCAGCAGTGGAACTCTCTGCCCAGGAATGTGGTGGAGGCAGAGCCGTGGCCAGGGGGGGTTAAGGGTTCTAACCCACCCACCCCCTGAAAGGTTTATAACCCCTCCAAACCTGGTTTACTCAAGAATTTTAATTGGTTAACCAAATTATGAGTAAACCAGGTTTCTTTTTTAACCTGACACATTTTCAGGGCAGGGTTTAACTTTTCAACCACCCCCTCTGGCTACGGCCCTGGGCAGGCCTGTAGCCAGGATTTTGATTTGGGGGGAGCTGATTCGGGGGGGGGGGGCTGAGTCTGAGTGAAAGAGGGTCTACCCTAGCAAACATTTTGTATCGTTACCCCAATACCCCCATGCATATGGGATATATTGAGCATGGTGATCAGATCATGATATGAATAAACATAACAGTAAATAATGCACCAGTAAGGCCTTTTCGCGAACCACCATGGAATTGGGGGGGGGGGGAAGTCCCTCAAGCCCCCCCCCCCCCGCTACATGCCTGGCCCTGGGAGGAGGCTCCTTCTTTGGAGGCTTTTGAACAGAGGCTTGATGACCATCTGTCAGGGGTGCTTTGAATGGGATTTTCCTGCTTCTTGGCAGAGGGTTAGACTGGATGGCCCACTAGGTCTCTTCCAACTCTAGGATTCTATTATTATAATGCCTAGCCACTGGAATTGTGGGAGTTGAAGTCCAAAACACCTGGAGGGCCAAAGTTTGCCCATGCCTGCTGTGAAATGAATGCAGTTTGACACCACTTAAACTGCCAAGATTCAACACAATGGAATCCTGGAAGGTGTAGTTTGGTGAGAACACTAAATATCTTACAAAACTACACCTCCCATGACCCTATAACATTGAGCCTGGGCAGTTAACTTGGTTTTGAACTGCATTCATTCTGCAGAGTAGATGCACCCTTCTTTTTCCTCCCTTATGTCTCCCTCTGGTTCCATTTTTCAGGTGAAATAAGTAATGCCCAAGAACAGATTGATTTGTGGACTGAGAAGATGCCTGGAAGGGAGACCCACCTCGTCCACTGGCAGCTTCCAGGCGCCAAGGAAGCCAGGCGACGAAGGGGAGAAGCCTGTTCCCCAAAGAGTTAGGCTTGGAGGAGTGGCTTGAAGTGGGGTTCCTCCTGGGAAGAAGAATCTGGAGGCGTTCTCATGGAGACAGACGAAGCAGGCTGGGCGGCAGGAGTGCAGCTGAGGTGGTCCCGCAAACAAGAGACAGCGCCTCTCTCCTACACTCTCTCTCTCTTTCTCTTCCTCTCCCTGCCTCCATCTGGTGCTCCTGTCTCTGGCAACCTGCACCACGCTGTCCTCATGGAAACGGCAAGGCTTGGACTCAGGGAATGGCCAGAGAGGAGCCCCGCCTCTCCTGCTGAGCTCGTCCCAACCCAAGCATTGTGGAGCCCGGCTTCTTCAACCCCAGGCCTTGACACGACTCCCAGGCACAGCCCAGGAATGTACTGCTAAGCAAAGGGAGGATGTTTCTCACCCAAACTCTGCACCCCCTATTACATTTTCCCTCCCTCACCGGGCAGGATTTCAGGGGGAGGAATTGGTAAAGCCACCCCCTCGAGTATTCCTTGCCTCAGAAAACCCTATGAAATAAATGGGGTTGCCACAAGCGAACAGGCAACTTGGAGACTAACACACACAAACTCCACCTGAGTGATTGAGTGAGACCTTTTTGACTCCCAGAACTCAGCTTTGCTGTTTTCATGTCCCCTTGGAAACTTTTCCTCCCATTTTTTTTTCTAAACTATTTCTGAAAGCTCCAGTGATTTTTTTTCTTCATCATCGGCGATCACTCATGTCCAAGTAGGATGGCCTTCTAAGCATAGGGTCTTGGTGGTGGATCCATAGGTGACTGTGGACACCTAGAGCCATAGAATCATAGAGTTGGAAGAGACCTCATGGGCCATCCAGTCCAACTCCCTGTCAAGAAGCAGGAAAATCAAATTCAAAGCACCCTTGACAGATGGCCATCCAGCCTCTGTTTAAAAGCTTCCAAAGAAGGAGCCTCCACCACACTCCAGGGCACAGAGTTCCACTGCTGAACGGCTCTCCCCAATCTCAGAATGGGGAATGCCTGACTCAAAAGCAGTACGTGTGAAAAGGATCTTGGAGTCCTCCCTCGTGGACAACAAGTCAGGAAGTTCATCCTAATGTTCATATGGAATCTCTTTTCTTGTAGTTTGAAGTCATTGTTCCACATCCTAGTCTCCAGAGCAGCAGAAAACAAGCTTGCTCCCTCCTCCCTAGGACTTCCTTTCGCGTATTTATACATGGCTATCATGTCTCC